ACCGCAGGCATTCACTCGCAACACACTTCTTCTTACCTGTCAAGTTTTGTAGATGCAAGAGGAGGGGTGTCCAAGAAGAGATTTCTGATTTCATCACAAGGCATTCCTGGGGCACTTTTAAATCTTTATATAATGAAAGAGAAGAAAATCACTCTTGATCAAGCAACCAATATATGCTTAGTCTACCACAGGTAATCTAAAACAAATGTAACAGAATCTAAATTAAGGATCAGCAGATATGCTAAATGTAGTGGAAGGCATTTTCCTTTTTGTTGCAATTATGGAGTCCATCCTGGGAGTTTTAGGGAACGGGTTTATTGCCCTTGTGTACTTCATTGACTGTGTCAAGAAGAAGTTCTCTATGCTTGGCTTTATTCTCACTGGCTTAGCAATTTCGAGAATTTGTCTGATATGGATAATAATAATAGATGGATTTATACAGTTATTCTCTCTAGATACATGTTACTGTGGTAGCCTAAGTGAATATGTAAGTTACATGTGGATAATTTCCAATCATTCAAGTATCTGGTTTGCCACCAGCCTCAACACTTTCTATTTCTTGAAGATAGCAAACTTTTCCCACTATCTATTCCTCTGGTTGAAAAGTAGAATCAGTAGAATTCTTCCTCTTCTGATGGGATTCTTGCTTATTTCATTGTTAATCACTATTCTGCAAGTTGGGAAGAATATTAATGAGAATAAAATGAGGAACAGAAACACAACCTGGCACAAAAGGGACTTCTTTGTTCAACAAGTTTCAATAAATCTGGGAGTCATCTTCTTCTTTACGCTATCCTTAATTCCATGTTTCCTGTTAATCATTTCCCTTTGGAGACACAGGAGGAAGATGCAATTGAACAGCACAGGATTCAGAGACCCCAGCACTGAAGCTCATGTGAAGGCAATGAAAGTGCTGATATCTTTCATCATCCTCTTTATCTTGCATTTTGTAGGCTATGCCATAGAAATATCACATTATACTGTCCCAGAAAACAAACTGATGTTAATTTTTGGAATAGCAACCTCGGCCATCTATCCCTGGGGTCATTCATTTATCCTAATTCTAGGAAACAGCAAACTAAAGCAGGCCTCTTTGAGGGTACTGAAGCAATTGGTGTACTGTGAGAAAGGGGGAAATTTCAGAGCCACATAGACAAGTGTGGAGGATAACCCTATGAAGAAAGACTGAAAGATCTGTTTCTCTTGCACCAAATTCTTATGCTGGTTTTCAACTGTGCTATTGAACGTCACTGAAATCTTTCATCCTTGTTTTAACTGCATCTTAGGGACTCTCACTCTTGGATGAGATTTTGGTCTCGCTTGCTAATTCCGTGATTTGGTCAGATCTCCTGTTCTGCACTTCTTCCCATACTCCTCCCCAAGGAAAAGCTTCCACCTGGAGACAATTCACAGTAAAGATTATAAGGGTGTCCACGAGCATCAACAAAGAAGCCTATGACTGTGTTTTTCCCGATTTCCCTGAAGGATTGATATCTATTCTCTA